AATTGTGCGTATATACTTTTTGCAGTAAATTATATAAAGTGATGTATATGTAGTTATTTTCCTTTAGCCTTTCTTACGAGATAAACAGCATCTAAATTGCATATCTCATTTCATGTTACGCGTTCTCTACAAATGTTTCTTTTTTTCTTTTATCGTGAAAGCTCCCTCTAAAAAAATGTTTTATTTATTAAATTCCAGCAAAAACAAAAAGGAATGAAATCCTCTAAACCAGTTTACAAGATCATCATTCGCTATTCCGATCGGCTTAGAACCTTACCTCTGAGTAAAACAACTATAAAGCTTTTTTCCTCACCACCCCCCTTACGATCCTGCTCTCCCCCCTTAAAGAAGAAAAACAATAAATAGATAAGAAAACAGAAACAAGCTTTATCCTTTCTGGGAATCGTACTGTTGTTTCTTCTATATATATATTTCTGACTTTTACTCTATCTCCACCCCCCTCTACCGATTTTCGTTTCATTCCCTCCCCGTTGTATAGAAAAAAGAAAATTCTGCTAAGCTTTCTTTGCCCACATGAAAAGAACATTACAAGGTGCGACGTAATGGCTATACTGAAATATGGGCTAAATCATTTTTGCTGAAGGATCTCCCTGGTCTTTGTTCGAACACTGTGTCCATCCCCTTGACAATAGTCCTTGAAGACAAGTAGATTAATATAGAATACGAGAATAGACACTAAATCTCTAGAATACATATTTATACCCCTCTTTACCTCTCTCTCTTTATCGAATACATATTTTCTGTTTCAATTTTTATATCGGATCAAAACTTTGACATTTTTAGGATTTTATAAACTAGCTTTAACAGTAGATTAATATTTTTCACACAGTCAATGTTCTCAACGACAAATACGAATTGAGCCACTTAAATTTCTGATGCACAGCTCGATGTTTTAATCGTTATTTACGCCTCTAGACTGAATGAGATCAAGGCTGTGCTGCATTTTTTTAAAGATCAATGCTGCTCTTCAATCGTTTAATTTAAGAGTTTAATCTTAGAAATTAGTGTATACTTCGTGTACTTAAGTGTAGATTTGCAATATGGTTCATTGTAGCTTATTCAAGTCATTGGGATACATGTTGCTATCGTGGCATATTATATATATATAACTAAAGAACCATATTTTACTTTTCGATTTAAATTTATATCAGTTTTTGTGTTCAGTTAGTGTTTTGACACATATTATACAGTGCATGGTACTCCGTGATTGCTGCCCTTTTTATTTTTAGAAACCTTGTCTAATATGAAATAAAATAAAAATATCCTTCATTCAAATTGCATTCGGGAGGGGGGGCACTAAATCAGGCCATAAAATTTCAGTTTTAAAGGTACTTGCCTCACTAAAATTTTTGCTCGCCACTATTTTCTCGAAAATTTTAAACTGTTTTTAAAATATTAACAAATGGAGAAGCCGAAACATTAAATTATTTGTAGTGAAGTAATAATAATATTAAGTTAAAATTAGGTTGTCATAAGGTTCCGAGGGTTTTAATATCATCCACGTCATTGAAACAAACGCCATTAAAATATGAAAATATATTAAAAAAATTCCCATACTTTTAACGAATCCTGTTCGTATACTGCTGTCTTTCAACACTAATCCGTCAATTGTACCATCCATCAATTGTGGCTCTGGCTCAGTTATTCTCGAGTTAAATTCTGTTAGTTACACACCAGTCTCAAATATTCCGTCGCCAATGGCGAAATGACTATTAGAAATGTTGCGAACTGCACTAAATTCCAACGAGTCGTTATCTTAGTATACATTCATGTAAAATACAACCTGTGTTCGTAATACAAAAGATGGGATTAAAACCAGTTTAGTTGATAGATGAACAAATGGCGACTTTTGAGCAAAGTTATTAATCCTACCTTCACTCTTATTTTGATCTCGTTAATGAGTTACTAGATATTAAACACCCCCCCCCTTGTTTAAATTTTATATTGGGATCCATAATGTGTATGTATTACTGTAATAGCCTATGATAATAGAAATCTTAGATTTTTACCGGTAGATCTTTTGATTTATCAAAGTATTTTGGTAAATCCCTAGGTTTCACCGCAAAAGCTGGGTAAAATTCCGAAATGGAATCATAATAAAACATACTACGTATTTTTACCATGGTATTTTGGAGAAAGCTAAGTTTTACTGGTAAAACCTATTAGTTCAATTAAATATTAGTTCAATTAAAAACATATATTTTGAGGGAGTGATTACTAAAAACCCTTTAGGTTTTAGATTTTTCTTTTTTTAATGATTTTCCTTGTCTAGTCCGCTTAAGAATTCTATTTTCACACTACTTATACATTTGCCTTTTTTTAAACATATTCCAGTTCCGATAGAAAACATTCCTCAAAAATCCAATGTGTTCTTGCGCGTGTGATTCTAGATAAATATTTGCCTCTCAAAAAGGAAGGGCCCCCCCCCAAGTACTTTCGATTCGAATCTAGATACCCTGCGATTCCATTCTATCGAAAAATAGGGATGGGAAAAGAGCGGGAGGACGAGGGAAAGAAAAACAAACAAAAAAAGTCAAAAATATTTCTACCGATTTTTTCACATGCGTGGATTCGTGCCTATATACGCAACATTTTTATTTTATTTGTGTCTTTATTTATTATTTTTCCTGCTCTAGCGCAGATGGAAAAGAGGCTAGAATATCGGAAGACGGGGAAAGGGAAAAATAGATAGAACTGAGTTTTGAGGGGGTGGCATGAAGATCAGAGAATCAAGAACGCATTTGGGAATACCATGATGGAATTTACAAACGATTTCTGATGGCTACATACATCACCATCCCCTCCCCCGACCTCGTGGCTGAGGATGGTCCTGTCTTTTTTTCCCCCTAACCCCCTTTTTTATTTTATTTTTTTCTCTCTCCTCTTATTGGAGAAAGTACTCGGTACCAATCGCTAGCCAAAGTGGCAAGTCGCTGATGGTACTTTCCGTTCAGATTTCTTTTCATGGGATGCAATCCTCTTTCCGAGAGCACACACTTCAATCTTATATCCCTCTATTATATATCTATTGGAATGCCTTTTTATTTGAGGGTTGTTGCTGATGTTTTAACGGTAAGAGATGCTGAGAATCGGCATTGTGGGGGGGGGGGGGGTNGGGGGGGGGGGTTGAAGCGGTATCTCAATTTCCATCCTCCAATGATTTGAAGAGAGGAAGAAAGAGATGCTGTAATAAATGAATCTGACTCAGTTTTTTTTCGTTCTCTAACGCTGCGGGTGGTTGTGGTATTAGCTGTTTGTTCGTAAAGTTTTATGTAGGTTTTTCTTTAAAGTGAAAGAAGGTTACTTGGAAGATTGGCTTATCGCCGAGACTTAACTTCTGTCTTGGAATAAAGGAGTTGATCATCATAAGCTTTCTGGACTCATTGTATATCCTCGCTTAAAAAAAATATTAATTTAAATTTTCGGACACTTTGAGCCATATTATGTTTTAAGTTTATTTTTCAAATTCAAACTATGTATATTTTAGAAATATTTATAAAATTAATTGGTAGATGGTAATTTTTTTTTTTCAAATGAACAATCTTTTTTTAAAAAAAAGCAGCAGAAAAACTAAATTTTATGAATAACTTAACTCGTTTATAAATTTTATATTTAAAAGTAGGCCGGGATAGCCTGGCTCCTAGGGCGTTGGGCCTATGTTCAAGAAGTCCTGATATCTATACCCGCCGGCTGAAAACTCCTCGTGTAGTCAATTGTGACTGGTGCATGTTAAATCTGTCGGATTACAAAGTCCTCCATGTTCCCATAATAAATCAATACCTTTGGGGTATTGTATTGGAGATCGTTCTCTGGTTCAATTCAAAATTACGGTTTTTAAATGAATGACTGCATGTATGAATGGGTCCGCCATTGTAAAATAGGCTGTGACGTGTGTGTGGCTGCATTCTTGACCATAGATGGCGCCACTGAAAAACAAGAAACGCACCCTCTACTTTAATATTGCTCGGTCTCACCCAGCAGGCTTGATAGTATTGGCAAGTGACATTAGAAACAACAACATATTTAATGATAATTTTTGATTCCAAAATTTTAAAATATTTCAACCAATTTTTGGACAATTTTACTTACTTTAGTTAGTTACAAAAATGATAAAAGTTCTATTAGATATATTTTGTATGAGGATGTTATTTTTATGGAAGCTGAAAAATCTTAATGATATGCGCAACTGTACTATATGCATTGTTAGATTAAAATACTTGTATTATTCAGTGCATTTAATGTATATTTGGTTTATTCTTATACATATTATTTTTCTAATTTAAAATGTCGTACATTAATTTCAGACAGTGTTTTTTAAAGTTTTGTATTGAAACACAAAGTTTATGCTACTTAAGTAATAAATAAGGATAAAAAAAATGGTGATTTGATCTGGAAAGGCAGAAAGTATTTGCTTGTTAATTTAATTAGTTTAAGTAAAAAAGAAAATTCACAAGGACCAGCAATCTTAATTTATCTAAGGCTAGTGTCCAGTGCTGGACTTCTGCTTTAGCAAAATTGTATAGTCTTAAATTTCTTTTCTTTTTTAAACATAATGCCTTATTAGAAATGTTTACCAAATAACAAGCAATGTTAAAAAATATAATCGATTTTTTTCCAAACGATGTTAAAAATTTAATTGATGTTTTCAAACAATGTTAAAAATTTAATCGATGATTTCAAACGATGTTAAAAATCATGATCGATGTTTTCAAATAATGGTGAAAACATAAATGCTTATCGAATGAATAACCAATTTGTAAAAAAATAGAAATAGAGGCTGATTTTATAAATCATCTAACTGCATTTAAGAAAGTATCCTACTAATACCAATAACTTCCTTAAAATGTTTTATTTTAACATTTTATAAGTCGTTTTCAAATTAATGTACAAAACTAATTTATTTTATGATTAATCTCGATACTCAACTTATTGATTCATTTTAATTGCAGTTACTAATGGCGTTCTTTTCTTTTTTTCAGGTATGATTTCTCAATCTACTGTTACACAGTTAAGTTTTTACCTGCAAACCCACTGACCCAGGAAGGTTAGCACACTATTATGTATTTTCTCCTTTTTCTTACACTTAGTTGAATAGCGTAGTTTATTGTGCCCTAAAATGTTATTGAAGTGTCAATCGAGTTTCGTTGATTACTGTAATTTTTATTCACAGTTTTCCTGTTAAGTTAATCTTTTTTTGAAAGGATATTTTTTAGTGTTTCTATTGATATTGTGTTACTTACGTAGGTTTTTCCGTATTTCTCTTTTTCAATGTTTCAAGCGCTTGCTATTATACAATTCAAAGTAATGTTTTCTTTTTGCGTAATTTTCATAATGTATTAAGAATACATTTTCGCAATTGTTTAGGAAATTATTGTAATTACGTATTTTCATTTGCTTAGGTGTTTTTCTGTAAATTCACGGAAGTGGGATAATTAATTCCTAATTAGCCGTGAGTTTTTTTTTTATTTTTTTTTTATTTTTGGTCATTATTTGTCAATGTTCTCCAATTTCTTGAAGTTGTTTTAACGAAAATTTAAATATTGATTTAGCTTCATTTAAAAAAAAATAAGTTTGCTGACCAAGTCTGATATTATTAATCGTTCGTCATTAATGATCAGTAATATCTGACGTAATTAATGAGACTAATATCATGAATCTTATTTTAGTAAGGATGTATTTTATTTTTTTTATACATATAATTTTTTCCTTTCACCCTTAAATAACCTTTATGTTAAACTCGAAGCTGTTACTCGTTTTCTTATAAATTTACGTAGTATTTTTCTCTTTAAAGGGATTTTTTTTGAAATTTTAAATCAAAGTAGTAAAAGTTCTTGTTGTATATAGCTGGTTTGTGTATACTTTTTTAGGTTTATTAACTTCCCTAAAAATAAATGTTATTTAAGCGTATCATTTTTTACCATAATTTATCATAAAATTAAACACCTAATTTAAAATAGAGAGTTGTCAACTTTACAGTATATATATTTTTACAGTATATATATTTTTTGAAGCAAATGAAGTTTTTAATCAAGTAACCTCTTCAGTTTCTCGTAATTATTTATTTAACAGTGTTGGCTCTTTCTTTTATTTATTACCTGTGCTTTTTTTACACAATTGGTTTCTTTTTTGCTACAATATAATTTTGCATTGTTTCTGACATGTGACAATTCCATCTTATTATCTATCGTATTCTTTTAGGAATTATCGCGTATTTATAAATCTCGTTTTAAAGGTTCTATTTAAAACCAGATACATTTCCAATCAAGTTGTAGATTGAAAATTTCCTTTCGTCTTATAACTAAGTAAGCTCGGAATTATTTATTTAACAGTGTTGACTCTTTCTTTTATTTATTACCTGTGCTTTTTTTTATACAATTTGTTTCTTTTTGCTACAATAAAATTTGACGTTGCTTCTGACATGTGACAATTCCATCTTATTATCCATCGTATTCTTTTAAGAATTATTGCGTATTTATAAATCTCGTTTTAACCAGATACATTTCCAATCAAGTTGTAGATTGAAAATTTCCTTTCGTCTTATAACTAAGAAAGCAAAGTTAATTGCAGTTCCTTTTGTATGAAATTCTTCTACGTTTATTTATCTATAAAGGAATTTTCCCTTCCGGTAATGCCCGACACCATCTTCCCCATAATTTAGACAAAGGACATCAGCAGCTTACTCAGTGCAGCATTAACGGCCCTACAAAATGGGTCTCTATGATCTCTGCGCTCTTCCGCTTTCCAGTTAACCCTCAAGCATTGGAATCCTTTATAAAGCCTGGCTTCATATCGACCTGTTCCCTGCCCTCCCAGGATATTGGCAGGGCGTAATTAGCAGAGATAGCTGGGGGCTATATATAGATATATCTATAGCCTGGGCGCACTAATCAAAGTGAGAAAGCCGCCGGGGCTATTGCCGCCCAATTAAGCCCTACTTAATGTCCCAGCCAACGGCCGAGCAGGTATGCCGTGCTGCCTTATAAGTCCTCTTCTCCGTCGGTCGTAAATTCAGGATTACGAGGCCCAGGCTCCGGCTGTTAACTCCCGAAATCTCCAGGATATGGGCTTTTGTGTGAGAAGTCTGGAACTTCTGGAAAAGGCGTACTCAGGATTAGAAGAGTGCCGGATTTGATGCGAAAAAGAATTTTTTCTTCTTCTTTTTTTTTCCATCTCCTTGTTTTCAGGGCTCTTTTGTACTTCTTTTTAGAGGAAAAGAGGCATTTTTTTTCTTCTTACTTTTATAGTGTTTTTCTTTTTCTTCACCTGATGGCTCTTAATTTGAGATTTTGGTGGCGTTTCTTTTATCTTTCCTCCCTCCTTCGGACTTAGTTGTTAAGTACAAATTGAACTTTTTTTTTTCTCCATCGAACTTGTGCCATTCCACCTTCTTTTTAAGAGATAGTTTAAGTTTTATCATTGTTTTGGGTGGACTTAAAAAATAAATTACTGAAAGTTAAAAATAACGCAAAAGAAAAGAGTTGTGTGAGCTGAATTTTTCTAACTTTTAATTTCTGGTAAAATAAAATAATATTAAATTCTTTAAAAAGAAAATTGAAAAAAAGTCTTTGAAATTTCTAAAATAGGATACAATAATCATGTAGATAACTAGGAAATGTGTAATAAAATTATCCTGAATAACACATTTTTTGTATTAAAAAAAATGCTTATTTTCGATTTAAACCTTTAATTTTCACTTTATTTATTGAAAAAAAGCTGAAATCCTAAACTTTTCTCAATTTTGAAAAATTTAAAAATTGATGAACTAACGCATAAACAGTGTGTTTTTATTGATATTAATGATTGAAATAATTCGATTGACACATTGCTCTGTTCTAATACGTGCTATACTGTTATTTTCAAAAGGGGAAAAAAAGGAACTTACAAATAAAAAGAAAATGAGGAAGAACACGCGGCGTTCATTTATGTGCCAGTTTTGTTAATCAAAGAAATTCTTCAAGAATTCTTTAAAAATGTCTGTTGATTTTTATTTTAAAAACAAACCGTGTGGTTTATAATAAGCTACTCTTTGTATTGTCTTTTTTCCGAATTTCATACAAAAATATTTTGAAAAATATAATTTAAACCTATTAATTTCTTTTTGCAACAGTGATTTTAAAGTTTACTTTAATAAATAAGTTAAAATGCAAATTAAGCATCATCGCTAAGCACACAAAATACTATATGCTAATTAAAAGCGGCAACACAAAAATACGAATTAGACTTAAGCCTGACGAAATGCAATCATTTCCATTCCGAAAATCGAAAATTCCATCACAGGGAGTCCTCATTCCATCAGCAATATTTCCTCATAGTCCTGCTGATACCCATATCGTTCTCCCGTTACCACATCCCGGAATATTGGGAAGAGCAACAGCAACAAAGAAGCTGGGTCGATAGCGGGTCCCAAAAATCCCAACGTCATCTCACAGGTGGGTTTTCCATCCATTGGGATGATGTATGGTGAAGGCCCTCGACTCCCACCCTGCCCGGCCAACCTCTCAAATTAATCACTAGGCTGTTACCTAGTGATGTCTTCACCAGGCTCACGCATCTACATGCATACCAGGATGGATGTTTGAGGAATGATGCTGTAACGGTATATCGTCAGGCCGTTTCTCCAAACAATATCGGGAAGTTGGAAAAATTCGTCCCGCAACGAATTTTATCTGTTTTGACTAGGTTTGTTCTATGGGATGAGCTATCTGAGCGAATTAATTGCACGTATTTTTACGTTTTTGGTATGGATCATTCGTGATTTATCTTGTATGGGATTTGCTAAATTTGGCAAAACTAAGAGTTTTAAATAGTTTTTTGCAGATAAGCGTGCATTGTGGTTTCTATTGTTTTCAGTACTCTGATTTGTTTTTTGTTTTTGTTTCTATTAAAAATAGTTATATTAAAGCTTTATATTTAAAGTGCTGACTTAGCATTGATAGTCATGAAGGAAGAAAAAAAACGTAAAAATGTTTTTACTGATAATTATTTTATTAGAAATTCTGGATCATGTTGAACCATAATATCGTTCATATTTGTTATACTCTTGTGTATGTAGTGTTTAGTTAAACTATGTCGTATTTTTTAAACATGTTTACACCATATTATGGTTCAATTTAACTCTCTTATAGCAAATTTGCTCAATAATATGGTACAAAGTACCGATATTATGGTTCAACAGTACCACTATTTTTCTGAGTGTAAATATAATTTACAATGCACGAGTGTGAATTGCAGAAAAAACTGTATATTTTAGAATTTTTAAAAAAAAAAATTCTAATTTTTAAGCGTTGTAGAGAAGTTTATGCCTTTTGAGGGAACCTGATGAATTTTTATTTTTAAAATATATATTTTTAGTTTTTTTTTCCTCCAGCTGAATAACCGATTTTGTCTTTTTCTAAATCCCCCTATTCCTTCAAAGTGTTGCTGTCATAATCATTCATTACCTAAGAACCACTTTTCTCCTTTCCCTCAAATAGGGGTGGGAAAAGGAAAAAAAAATCGCTTGATGTCTCTTAAAAACCGATTCATTTCAAGCTCAAAAAGATATTTGACGTCTTTAAAAAGCCATATTCAAGTGGATTTGATTCTGTGGGTGCGTGTTTCCCTCCCCCCTCCATGTTTCTTGTCTTTTTATTGGGACTTGCCGGACGATTTATATCGTCCAGGAGGTCAGGGTGTTCGAGGTAATGAACCCTGACCCCACCCTTGATGGATTGCGTGTCAGAGTTTGCCGCCTGATCCCCAGTGACAAAAGCAACTCGTTAGGAAAAGGAGGATTTGGTTAGATTAGATCCTAAAGAAGGAAGGTTTTGAGTTACAGTGAGAAGTTCATATGATTAAATTCTCTGTTTTTTTTCTCCCCTTTAAGAAAAAAGAACTAAGAATGACATTCACAAATCAACAGTAACATCAGTCAAGTCAAATTCCAGATTCAACGATTTTACAGTATTAAGAAAAAGTCTAAATTTGCTAATGTTTTCTTTTGTGGAAGTCTTTTTTTTCTGCTCTGCGTACATTAATAATTTCCAAGTTTTTTTTTTTTTTTTT